CTCATATGTGGGATCCGAACCGGGGTCCTCTGTCGTCCCAAGCCAGTTCTTAACCATCGCGCCACTCGGCCGGCCCACTAAAGATTTTTATTCCAGAAATATGTTATATTCTTATAAACTTTATTCAGATTGACTCCAATAGGAATATACCCTACAAAATTTGTCCCATTCAGTATTTTCCTAACTGAAAATGCAAAAACAAGGACCAGTTAAGCCCAGGATCATGATAAGCCATCAACTTCTAGGCCAAGACGAATTCATTACCAAAACAACACAGCATTTTCCTGCTCCCTCAACTCAAATGCACCCCCAAGTTATAAATGTCTTCAAGGCAGAAAACCCCATCTCATTTTTCTTAGCATCTTCACTTTTAATGGCAGGCAACCAGTACATATCAGTTTGTTAGAATTCATTCGTTTCTGTCCATATCTTCCAAGAGTTACTGGCGTAGCAGCTAAGCACCTGAAGAAAGGAGCGACCACTAAGATCGTGGAAGACAAGGAAAGCCTTATGGCAAGTCAGAGGCAGGGATTCTGAGCTGAGTCCTGGCTCCTTCCTCTGACGGTGCTGACTTTCACAGTCACTGTGTGATCTTAGCTAATTTTAGTAAGTCTCTTTAATGACCTGTGCAAATTTATAATGCCTGCTCTAATCAGATAGTTTTGATTAAAGCGATTAGGTATGGGGACCACTATTCCAGACATGTTACTTATAGTAACTTATTCAATTCTCAGTAGGCACTGTTACCACCGTATTTTGATTTAGGGAAGTGAGGCACAGAGAAATCATCTACTGTATTTTGCTGTGTATAATGCACACTTTTTTGCCCAAATTTGTGAGGGAAAAATAAGGATGTGTATTATACATGGGTGGTACTAATTCTGTATCTATATAAGTGTTTTTAATTATTTTATTTATGCTTATAAGTTAAAAGTGTAACTCTGGAAATCAATAACGATATCTGTATGCAAAATAATACCCTGGAATACGATAATCGGTTTTGTTGAACTTACAATGAACTTGCAACAAGTTCTATGATGCGTAAATATAAATTTGTTACTGGTACATAAAATTTCTTGTACCGTAGTATGTTAAAAAGTTAATGCTAAAATTCCTTTATAACATATAAAACAAGTACCTGAATGTAAACAAATAAATTTGAATTAAAAAATTAAAAGGAAATATTTTTTTCCCTGAAAATTTGGGCCAGAAACATGGGTGCATTATACATGGCAACATATGGTAATTTCCCACCTAGTCACGGCAAGTAAATGGCAGAGTAGGATCTGGGCCAAGGCCCTGTAAGTGCCAGGCTTTCACTGGAAGCATGTTATTGCTTGTCATCCCAAAAAGCAGCCCAGTTTGAATTCTGCCATTTACTGCTGTGTGACCATAAGGTGGTTTACATAACCTCTCTGGGTTTCAGTGCCCTTCCAGTCACATTGCTATAATGATACCTTCCCGGGAGGGTCTTTGTGAGGGTTCCATGAGATAATCTGTCACGTCTCCACTCGCAGTGTGGACTGAACGTCGGTGTTACTGATAGCTGTAGGATGTGCTTTGGGTCAATGAATTGAGAATCAGCTAAGGACTTCGAGACTTGGCACTGTTTTTCTCCTTATCAGTCCGTGTTCCATCTCTCTCCTCTCTCGGGTTAGGCTACAGTGGGTTCCCTGTGGCCCCACCGCACCAGAACCTACACCCCCTTCATCAGCGCCACGTCACCGTGCCCACCAGCGTCCCTCAGCAGCAGGTCTTCGCCCTGGCAGAGCCCAAGAGGAAGCCTTCTCTGTTCTGGCACACCTTCAGTAAGCTCACCCCTTTCAAGAAATGAAAACGGAAGGGCTGTGCTTCTGCTGCGGTGGCTGTGAAGAGGGCCTCTCTGTTTCTTCCATACTCAATCCAAGGACAGAGCATTGGACTCGGTGCTGGAAACTGCTTTTGGGGAATGAATGAAGAATAGAAGGCGTTGTACTCGCCTTTGGTCTTCAGAGACGCAGCTGCCTCCTTGGAAGGGGGAAGATGGTGATGACCCACAGCTTTGGGGAAACAAGAACCCTCTAACCTGTGCCGAGGTGGCCGAGGCCTGGGACCAGTGACATGGCTCTAAAGTGAATGCTGAGCAGACCCAACAAGCATCGCTGATGAGAGCATGCTGGCTGCTGAGGGGGCTGAGAGGAAGGGCGAGACAGTGGTAGTTTTGCACTTGGTTTGAAGGGATTGGTCATGATGGGGTTGGGAGGATACTGCTTCTCACTGGCATGGGTGAGCCGTTCCTGTGTCCCATGTGCAGAAGCAGTGTTCCCTGGTGTCACCTGAATCCACAGTCACCAAATGGTCACACGGGCTTCCTCCTGCCAGCTTCCTGCCCCTACAGGCTGGAAGGAAATGCAGGATGACTTGTCAGGTGGCAGGGAGGTCTGCAGTGCGATGACTCCAGCCTTCCCAAGGGACGGCTGCTTTCCGGGGAGGGAGTGGAAGAGCCTACTGTGGGCTGACCTGACTTCTCAAGTACCCTCTTGCCTGCCCGTGTGCAGTCTGCACCGCCATAAGCAGAAACCACGGCTACTCGCACATGATAACCTAAAAAACTCTATTTGAACGTACCCGTTTGCAGTATAAAAGCCCGTCTCCTTTCATTTTATGATAAAGTGAAAATGCGTGTGCCCTAATGGAACAGCATTCTGCACGTGCATCTGTGTGCTCACGCCATCGGTGGTCTCTGCCACCCTCATCCATCAGGATATAACGACATGCATTCCACAGAAAAGGCATGCAGCTCAGAGCCGTCCCGCTGCCTGAGAATTCGAAGCTGACCTGGGTGCGTAAACCCAAGCAGTAGTGCTAACTGAGATTATTAGCATGTCAGCAGGTTTCTTTACAACAGAAACCTTAACAAAATTCATCTCGACTCAAGACAGCAGTCTTTTTTAACGAAGGCCATGTGGGCTGATACCTGTCCATAGTCATCTACTCTTTGTATGTATTGTAAATTTCGATGGAAATAGCTTTTAAATGTGTCCAGAGAAGACAGACTGTGCAGGAGAGATGCCATGTTAATTTACTTAGTGCACTGGATGGAGGGTATTGTGTTACACCATTTGTGGTTTTCTCTTTGAGAAGCTCTTTGTATGAGTTCTTTTTCCTACTAGACCATGCTTGAGAATAAACAGACCTGTCCTGTCAAACACAGGTGTAGTCCGAGTCTCCAAGCGTGTGGTTCCCCACTCTCCCCCACCTTCGCTCGTACCCAGAGCTGTTCCTCTGTACAGCGAGAAGGCACAGAACTGGACCTCTCGGGTGGGGCTTGGAGCGTCATGGAAAAGTGTGTCAGGAAACCTCACCTGTCTTGAGCCTGCTCTGCACCTCAGTATGCTCACTTCTAGGTGGTGTTTCTGGAAGGTCGTGCTGCCTCATGGCCAACAACCACGGGCCACTTCTGGGGACCTTGACCCCGAGTGTCCCAGGACAGAGGCTGCTTCTATGAGGATGGGTCTCAGGAGGTACTGTGACTCTGAGAGCAAAAGCGGGTGTGCTGTGCTTTTGAACAGACATCTCGATTGTAGTTGCATTTGTATAACTGACCTTTTTACTAACCAAAAATAATGACATGTTTTGTAAACTATACTTAATATACTTTTTGTGGACCCCTCAGCAATAACTGTAGGGGTCTCTGCGCTAAATAGAGTTGTTTGTATATACAGCAATTTTGAACAGTTGGTTGGTTTTTTTGTTTGTTTTTTTTTAATATAAGAGAAAGGAAGCAAAGAGAATTATTTGCAAATGTTACATTTTCAGTGAGGATTCATGTAAAGAACCACTCAGAGGGCTTCCATTTACTAATATTTATTAATGGGCAATGAAGAAATGCTGTAAGCTCTGTGGCCAGTCCTGAGTCACTTCCCAGCTGAGCCCTCTCCTTCAGCGGAGGACCGGGGAGCTCAGCCAGCAGGGCCTGTGGCGCCCCGGGGGCTGCCCTGTCACCTCTGTGCAGTGTAAGAGTCACCTGATCAAATACCTGTTCTAGATGGAGACTGCTTGGATTTTCAGGTGATTTTTTTTTAACTGCTAAAGTAGATTTAAAAGGATGGAACGTCCTTTGATTCTTGAAGTCTGTATGTCTACCTTGGGTTGTATTACCAAATGCCTGAGTTCTATCAAGAACAGATGGCTCAAGTATTCTAATTCTGGTTTGCCAAACTTCCTTCTTGATTCAAGTCACATGTTCTACTTGGAAAGAAAGAGAAAAAACAAAGAGCCTTCTATACAGATTATGTTTGAATTTCATTGGGAATCTTGCTGTCTTGTTCTTTTCCTCTTTTTAAACCCTACATTGCTTAATATGGTGGACCAAAAAAAAGGGAGGGGATGATATAGCATTTTGATGAATTTCACTTATTCTATCTTTCATGTTTCAGAATTTGCCAACTCTGTTAAATGACAGTTGTAATGGCCTTGGGTCAAAAGTAACCTTCTCAATGTCAATCATGCCTAAAATGGAAAACAACCTTAACCTTGGCAGTAGATGTAAGCAAACATAAAATAATATGTATGTGTAAAACTCGGGGAAAATAGCATTCTTTGTCTTTGGCCTACAAATTAAAGAAAGAGTGGCAGCAGCTTGCCAGGGCTTGGACGGGGTACTGCCTGCATCATTTGTTTTTAGTAGATATGACATTTTTCACCTGATAGACCTGATTTTGATTTTGTAGTTGAAAACATTTCACTTCCATTTCCACGCTATTTCTGAACATTATTGTGGTTTTTTTTATGTCTAATCCAGATGAAGACTAAGTCCATGCCTATTAAGGAAGTCCCCCTAGATACTACATTGCTCTGGCCTAGACGCAGAGCAAAAGTGCGTTTAATTGAAAATTTGGTTCACAATAGAAATCTTCTGTAAAAGCCATGTGATGCGGTTTTTTATCAGTTGGAAATCTTTACCTGTCCAAATTGCTGATATTCCTCCTTGTGAATCAACTGACTTAGAGCAGGAAGGGCGGGGGGGATTGCTGTATTATTTTTTGTTGACAGGAGAAACGGATGTGTCCCTCATAGGACAGTGCCAACGAGTGTGAATAAATGTCCTTTCAATGGCTTCAGAACACAAGTCAAGACTAGGTCAAACTACTCAAAAACAGTTTTCCCTACTGTAAGCTTAACCTACAAATTGTTCTCCCTGTTAAAATTTCACTTGGCTGAAATTGTTTTTCCCAGATTGGATGTGCTGAAAGTGGAGTTCAAAAGATTTTGAAAAAAATAAATAAAAACTGTCTGATCTTGAAAAAAAAAAAAGCTTAAATATTTGATGCAAATATATTTAGGTACAACACACATAACATTGTTGCCTTATTTCATAGGCATAAACATTTGCATTTAGAAAATACTTTAACGGTTTCTGTGATTTAGTGATTGGTCTTTATTGTTTAAGTATTAGCATCTGTTGTGTTTGACTTACCTACTTTGCAAGGCTTTTGGTAACATTTTCCTTTCATCTTAACTCATCACCATCAAGATGATATTATCTGTGAGTCAAGTGACAGCTTCCAACAGTAGAGTTGGCTGTTGACAGCTGAAGTATGTTGTACAAGATTGCTGTAACTTGATATGTATTTTTGTTGAATGAAGTTTTTGTAAAAAAAAAAAAGAAATTACAATGTTATTTGAATGATTTCTTGTAAATGCTGTGAATCTATATTGTTTTGTATCTGTATATTAAAATTAATTTGCCAAACCAGTTTGAGTAATTGAGTATTAGAATAAGATTTTTTTTTTTTTCTTTTTAATGGACAGAGTGTCAGGAGGGTTCTGGGATTCACAGCTCACTTCCTGCCTGGATATAGATGGACTTCAGTAACAATTCGCCCATTAATGAGCTGAATCAAACCACTGGATCAGTATGGCAAAAAGAAGGCTCTGAGATGAACAGATAGGGGCCACTTACCTTGAAAAAATTCGTTGGAATAAGACTGATGAAGCCACAAACCGGAAATGAGAAGTCCTATCTTGTAGCAGCAGTTTTTGCTGCTGATGGTGGAAGGTATATGAAGAGAATGTGCCTTTCGTTTCCCAGCTGCTGGCAAAGAGCAGGACCCCTTCACGGGAGCTCTGCTAGTGGCCCTAGGCCTACTGACCCTTTGGGGTGGGGTAGATAACCATTTCCTCCTTTAATTACAGCTCAGAAAAGCTAAGTAAATAGCCCATTGTTTGCTGTGACTGTAATCAGAAAAAGATTCCTATAAAGTTGCCAGGCAGCTAGTCTCCACTTTTTGTTTACTCTTCGTTAACATCCACCTACTTCCCAAGCTGGTTCCCCCCTTTCTTGGACTGAAAGAGGGTTATTTTAGGGGTGGAGGGGTGAAAGCATTGGGAGCCAACATCTCAAAGGGTGGCTTTCCCAGCGACTCGAGCTGGTACCATATATATGAAGAAGTGAAAAATAGAGTGCTGTGGCGATTTCTTCTAGAGGAGTTGTGGGGGAGATGACCAAACTATATGAGCCACCAACCCTAAGCACTGGGGAGACAGCTGATGAAATGTGTGAATCCTCCCAAGGAGCTTATTATTGGAAGAGGGGAGACACATTAACAAGTAAAATTCAGCGTGAACTACGCAATGGTGGGAGTGTGTACAAGTTATGAAAGGACGTCAGGGGATGGCATCCCTTCCTTGGTGAATATCGGGGCAGGAAGGAAGCACACAGGAGGCCAGGCCGAAGCGGGATCCTGGAGGGGTATCCCTGTGTGGCAGGGCCCCGGTCTTGGCATTGGAGTGTGATGCTGGTTGTGTGAGACCAAAATGGTGGAAGCTGGGTCGCAGAGGACCTGCGGACCATGGTGAGGCGCTGGATTCCATTTTGGAGGCAAAGACTGAGGCAAGGCATGCTGTGGCCAAATTTGCATGGGAGCCCTCTCCAGTGGCAGAGGAAAGGGTGGATTTGAAACCGAGGCAGGGAGGTGATTTAGGAGATAGTGGGAAAGGACAGGAGGCTGGGTGTGAAGTTCTGCCTCGGGGTGCCTGGTGGGTGCTAGTGCCACAAACAGATGCAGAAAGAACTGTGTTGAAGGTGAGGCGGCGTGAGTTCTGTGTTTGGGTTCATGATGGTGGGGTCTGTCCGGTGAGTAGTGGAATGAGCAACATGAAGCCCATAGAGGTCAGGACTGGCAGTGGAGATTGGACAAGGCACCACCAATGGTGGAGTTAAACCATGGGAGTGCAGCTGAGCCAGGCAGCAGGAGGAACACCCTGAAGAATGCGCAGGCTGAGACAGAAGGAGGAAGCTCGGGATGGAGAAGTGGGGTGGGGGAGATCAAATGGGGGAGGGGCGGCGGACGCAGAGGGGGCAGGAATTGTCAGCAGGACAAAGCCTGCTGGTGCTCCCCGCTGAGAAAGGACTAAAAGTGGTGGATTTAGGGATCAAGAGGGCAGGCTTGGGCATGGTGGAGGAGAAACCAGCTTAATTTAGTGACCTCATTTCCTGTATGTTTTGCCTGCTGTGAGGAAACAGGCATGGTAAGCGCAGGAGTGGTGTTACCTCAGTTTAAGGGAGACTTGCCCTACACACACATACTCCACAATCCAGCTCTGTTCTCAGCACCTCTGAGAAACTGCTGGACACGTTTGTCCTCATGATGCCATTTTTACGTTAGACGTCAATGTTGGTGGTGGACACTGATCTGGAAAAGTGAAGAATCAAATTACATGGCATTGAAAAAGAACTTGCACCACCGTATCTTCTCAGTGGCAGGTAGGCAGGCATTGTGAGAGTGTGTGTGTGTGTGTGTGGAGGGAAGGGGGGGGGCAGGCAATGGGCATTAAATCCTAGAACACAAATGCCTAAAATGAAAGGAATTAAACAGAAGTTGGAAAGATCTAGTTACATGATACCAGCTCCAATGGTCTGGGATCCGAATGAGGCCTGGACAGTCGTCTTCAGTTTTGTCCTCTTGCCCCCAACACAAACATAGCTTTAAAAAAAAAGAAACCTGCCACCTGTTGTGGTGATTCCTTCCTGCAGACTCCACTTGAAAATGTCCCTGGCTTTCTCTCACTTTATTAAAAATTACAGGGGTGGGATAGGAGAAAACAGCTAAGGTTTCTAACCTAGGTGGTGCTGGTGGAAGATGCTACCTGACTCAGTGTTGCAGTTTTTGAAGCTCTTCCAAAAGATCTTGTGCCTCGCTCTGTTCCCACCCTTTCCTGCTGTTTTGCAGATATATCCACCAAGGCGTTGTGTGTCAGGAAGGCGTGATTTTATCTAGTTTGCCCTGGAGTCCTGGTCTGCATAGCACCTGGGTGCAGCCTGCAGCCCTGGGGGTTAGTCAGGTAAGTGCATGAGAAACAATTTCTTTAAATTCAATTTAAGACATCCGAATCCAAAAACAGTTCTTTTTATTATCAGTCTGTGAAAATCTTGCTCAATTATTTGCAAAGTAGGCAGATGTCTGCAGAGTTTTTGGTAGGCAAGGAGTAAGTGGGTTCCAAAATTCATTCTTGAGGAAGAGACTAAACAGAAGATAAAAGCAGATTTTGAAATTCTTCGGCAAGAACTCAGCAAACTGGCTGGGAGGAGGCATGACACCATTGAACAACTGTAAGAATGAGCAGCCCTTTCTAGAGAGCTTTCTAGAGAAGCTGATAGGTTATTTTGCACAAATTTTAATGTGTACATTTATGACTATACTAATTTACACTGTGGGTCTTCCTTTTTTAAAGCCCCTCAACATACGGTGAAGAAGAAATACCTAAAGTGTACAATGTATAGAGCACGTGCAAGAAAATGTAGTCAATGAAGGCAGTATAGAGTTTTTTAGATTATTAGACTGTCAAACCCCGGAAGGATGTTTGGGGGGTTACTGCATCCCTTGCACAAGGAAGCAGAGGCTTGGAGGTTTGGAGACCCAGGAAAGATTGCTCAGCGGGGTTCTGGCAGGCGTTTATTAAACCTTAAGTATTTGTGAAGTAAGAATCCTAAAGAGCAGAAATCCTTAAACTTGGTCATGAATTAGGGACATCATGTCCTTGGGGAAAATTAATCAGGAGAGGCATTGAGTATCCTTTTATCAAGAAATTCTGTAGTGAAGGCAAAATATAGGTCAATCATAGGAGAAACCACCCAAATATAGGATGCTAACTAACTAAAAATGTATTTTATTTGGTACTAACAAACAGCAACTCCAGAGCCACTTGCAGTCTGTGTTCCTTTGCCCCTGAGCACATCAGTCTGTCAGGTATATGAGATCACAGCAGTGTCCCAGGATCTCTCACCCCATGAACTCAGCACCCAGCAGGATTGCATCTCTCCTCTATGCATTCACATTGATTTTATTGATCTGTCTACGGCAGGGGTGGTTATTGGTTTTTAACATCACCTGACGGGCTGGGTACCCAATGAGTCCTCTTGCTATTGGGCTAACTGACTGCAGAAGTCCACGAACCTTCCTCATTTCGGATGAGTGCACACACTTTCCACAGTGGAAACCTTGCATGAGTCAAGATGTAGGCTTAACTGTGTGTAAAAGAGATCCAAGTAATGGTTGCTTAGGCACATTAATAGTATATTTCGCTCTCATTTCAAAGGTGGGATGGTAGCACAGGTCTGGTGTGTGGAGTCATCAGAGACCAGGGTTTTTCTATCCCCAAAACGTTGCCCTCCTTCGAGGAGTCCAAGGTGGCTCACCATCCCATGCACACTCCAGGCACAGGAAAGGGGAAGTGGCAAAGGAGGTTACACCCCTCCCCTATAAGGCCCACAAGTTGCACATGTCCCTTTTCCTCATTTCCTACTGGCCAAAATCTAGTTTCATGAAAATATCTGGGCTGCAAGGGAGGCTGGGAAATATAGTCTATTGTGGGCAGCCATATGCCAGCTAAATTTCTATTACCATGGAAAGTGAGATGGGGCATTGGAGAAAGTAGTAATCTTCACTGACAGCACTGACAAGGATTACATTTAATACCAAGTCACCTCACCAAATCGTGATCTGCACACAGCTGGAACCAGGATAACCAAATGTTCCTTCTCTCTCTCTCTCTCTCTCTCTCTCTCTCTCTCTCTCATTCATTAATACATTAAATCATTCAATGTATATATGACTGTGATGCACTGAAAATAAGAGTGGGAAGATGCAGTGACTATCTCCAAAAAGCTATAAACTTGTTTGGCGCCTGATTAGTGACTCTTAGTTAGGTGCAGTGTGAAGAACACATGGGTAGGAGTAGCAATGATTCAGATGAGAAAAAAGGAGGGGAAGGGAGGTAGAGGAAGATGGGAGATGGATGGGGGTCCTAGCTCTAAAGCATTTTGGGGAGACACCAGACATAGGAGTTAAAAGTCCAGAGTTTGAACTTGTTGAACTCATGAACCCGGATCCAACCCACAGCTTTGTGAGCACAAATGTAATTAAAAAATTTTTTTTTAAAGTAACATAGAAATACAAATGCTGCATTCCTTGTGCAAACCCTCATGTCCCTGTTCCAAATTTTCTTATTAGAGATAGTGCTACAACTTATTTCACTGCTTATTTGGGTGCCAAGTATATTCAGTTATTCAAAATCAATTGTTAAAGGTTGTCTACATGCTAGGCATGACGAATAAGCAAGCTAGCTACAATCTCTGCCTATATCAAGTATGCAAAACTAGTGAAAGAGTTAGAGAAGAATAAATGTTTGCTTTTATCCTAGCTCTTCTACAGCTGGAGAATAAAATGGAGTTTATCACAATGTGACACCTGTATGATCTTGTAATCATTATAGTATTGGAATAATTGTAACACATTTTGAAAAATTAAAAAGGAAAAAATATAGATCTTTTAACACAGTTTGGTTTGTGTAATTTAGATATGACTACTACCAGTCACTTCTGAGTTAAACAAAAGAGGCTGGCGTAGGTTATTTATGGAATTTGGCTCTAAGAAAACTCAGTTCAATTTCCTGAAATGGTGTAAGTTTCTGCCTTCAAAGGGAAACATCTGTATTTCCTTTTCCAAAAATACCGTACTCTATTTGCCTCAAGCCCTGTGACATTTAGAGGTTTCCATAAGATGGCGATATAATCCTTTAGAAGAGAGAGTCTATCTGGTTTTAAAATGTATATATATATATATAGAGAGAGAGAGAGAGAGAGAGAAAATGTCTTTATAGACACTGTAAAAAAAAGGATTTTTTTAAAAGACTTTTTTTTTTAAAAAAAGATTTTATTGGGGAAGGGGAACAGCCAAGTTGTTGTCCTTCAATCTTAGTTGTAGAGGGTGCAGCTAACTCAGCTCTAAGTCCAGTCACCATCCGGCTGCCCATGGGCAGCTCACAGCCACTCAGCTCAAGATGCCGTGTTCAATTTTAGTTGTGGGTGGGCATAGCCCACCATCCCATGCAGGAGTCAAACCGGCAACCTTGCTGTTAGGAGCACGTGCTCTCACCAGCTGTGCCATCCTGCCACCTGCTGGCAGCTCAGCAGCAGCTCAGCTCAGGCGCAGCTCACTGGCCCATGTGGGAATCAAACCAGCGACCCAGTTGCTCAGAGCTCGCACTCTTACCCAACTGAGCCACTCGGCCAGCCCAAAAGGCATTTTTTTAAAAAAGGAAAAATGTGCCCAATGTTTTAGTTTATTTTTTTTTAATTCACAACATACAGAGGGTGCCCCAAAAATGTGTACACATTTTAAGAAAGGAAAACTGTATTAAAATTATAATATTATATACTGATAGCAAAAGATCAATACAAGTCACATTTAATTTCTGCAATTACAAGAGGTTCTCAAAATGGTTACCATCAGTGTCCAGACACTTCTGATTACAGTGAACTACTGCTTGAGAAACATTGACCAGTGTCCACTTGTATACATTTTTGTGTCACCCTGGGTATAGTTTACATATTTCTACCTGACCTTCCTTTATAATTATTTCAGTGGTTACATAATATTCTACTTTTGTTACACTATTGTTACATATGACATATGAGGTTGCACAATTAAGTTCGTGAACTTGTTGCAACAATGTTGCTAATGTTTTTTTGATATCAGAGGGATTATTCATTATGAATTTGTACCAACTGGACAAACAGTTAACCAAGTTTACTATTTGGAATTGCTGGAAAGGCTCATGAAAAAGTTACACGACCTGAACTTTCGCCAACAATTCATGGCTCTCGCATCACGACAATGCACCAGCTCACATGGTACTGTCTGTGAGGGAGTTTTTAGCCAGTAAACAAATAACTGTATTAGAACACCTTCCCTTTTCACCTGATCTGGCCCCCAATAACTTCTTTCTTTACCTGAAGATAAAAGCAATATTGAAAGGAAGACATTTTGATGACATTCAGGACATCAAGGGTAATCCGATGACAGCTCTGATGGCCATTCCAGAAAAAGAGTTCAAAATTGTTTTGAAGGGTGGACTAGGTGCTGTCATCGGATCATAGCTTCCCAAGGAGAATACTTTGAAGGTGACTGTAGTGATATATTCAGCAATGAAGTGTGTAGCACATTTTTTAGGATGAGTTCACAAACTTAATTGTCAGATCTTGTAGTATGCATTTTTTCACTAGTATAGATAATCCTGTGGTTAATACGTTTGGCACACAAACTTTGGGTTACTGAGAAAAACTTTAGGGATGAGATTACTGGGTCTTAATTGGGTTGTCAGAAAAGTCATGACGTAATTTGTCTATGTTTTTCAAAGGTCATTTATTTATATAAAGAACAAAGATCAATCAATGATATATTGCCCATTTTGTTCGATAACCTTTTGCCATCTTTCAGTGAGCTTCATAATTCTTCATTCATAGGAGAACCTGTCTTTATTTGCAAAAAACTGAACAAGGTGCTGATTTACATTCTCATCTGAATTGAACGTTATACCACGCAAAGAGTTTTGAAGAGAGCGAAACAAGTGGAAGTCTGATGCTGCAAGGTCAGGCGAGTATGGTGGGTGTGGCAACACATCCCATCCAAGCTCAAATAATTTTTGATGGGTGATCAAACTTGTGTGTGGTCTCGCGTTGTCGTGATGGAACACAACTCCTTTACAATTAACTAGCTCTAGACATTTCTGTATGATGCATTCATTCAAACTGTCCAATTGCCAACAGTACACATTCGAATTGATTGTTTGGTTCCTTGGTAAGAGCTCAAAAAACATGACACCTTTGAAATCCCATCACACTGAGAGCATAACCTTCCTCTGAGGAATGTCTGCTTTTGGTGTCGTTTGAGGTAAATGATCACGTCGGGACCAAGACCGTTTGCACACCACAATCCACTTCTCATCACCAGTTATCAGTCGCTTCAAAAAAAGATCGTTTAGGGCTGGCCGAGTGGCGCGTTGGTTAAGAGCTGGCTTGGAATGCCAGAGAGCCCCGGTTCGGATCCCACATATGAGGGCCACTGATACTGCCCTCTACAGCTAAGATGCTGAACAACAGCTCAAACTGGAACTGGGCTGCCATGAGTCCCCGGCGACAGCGTGGGCTGCAGCCCCTGCTGCAGTGGGTTGCCATGGGCTACTGTGTGTAGCTAGCAGCTACCGTGTGTAGCCAGCAGCCAGTGTGAGCAGCCAGCAGCCACCTTGAGTGGCTGTCCAGAAGCCGGCAACTGATCTGCCTCACCTGGGAAGAGCGCAATGATGGTGCCAACTTGGGCCAGTGAAGCAACGTCCTCCACAACTAGACTGAAGAACAAAATGACAGCAACTTGTCTGTTCCCATCCCCTAATTCCCCAATAAAAATCTTAAAAAAAAAAAGATCATTTACCTCACGTTTAATGAGCATATTGCAAATGTTTATACGCGCCGTCAAATGAACTTCTTTGAGTTCAAGCGAAACCCAAATATCGAGCTTGCTTATGTATCTCAGCTTCTTCAGGTGATTGTGAATGCTTGAGTGATGGATGGTCAATGTTTCTTCAATCTCTTGTATCATGTAACATGGGTTGGACTGGATCAATGCCTTTATTTTGTCATCATCAACCTCAGTGGGCCTCCCTGACCGAGGAGCGTCGTTGAAATCAAAATTACCAGGACGGAATTTCGTGAACCATCATTGGCACTGACGTTCTTGTAGAGCATTGTCACCATAAACTTGACGCAACTTTTCACAAGCTTGACATGCGAGCTTCCCTTTATGGAAGTAAAACAGTAAAATATGACAAAAATGCACAGTTTGGTCTTCCATCTTCAACTTGTTGTAAAATCTCCAAAACTCAAACAAATCGCTCAATATATTTTTTAGAATGAAGCTAAAATTGTCAGCCGTCAAAAGACATTTCAATAACATAGATGTGAATGACTCTAGTGCTTCCAAAAATGAACTAGTGCCATCTGCTGCAAACATGCATCATGACTATTCTGACAACCCAATAGATACGAATGTCTTTTCTTTTTATCTTTTCAAAGGGCTGTTCAGACTCCATTGCCTTCAGCAGAGGATCTGGCTTCTGACCAGTTGCACTAGTAGCCTTATGTCATTATTTTTATTTTATTTTTTTAAATAATTTTATTGGGGAATTGGGGGAAGGGGGAACAGACAAGTTGTTGTCGTTATGTTCTTCAGTCTAATTGTGGAGGACGTTGCTTCACTGGCCCAAGTTGGCACCATTATTGCGCTCTTCCCAGGC